CCGTACAGAAGAGAGATTAGAAGAGATGGTATGGGTCCTAGTTAGGTATATTCTTCATGTCCATGGGTCCCATGGAAATCTTTCTTCAAAGTTTTCGAGACATGAGAGCTATTTAAAGAGTGAGTTTACCAGTACCCCTCATCTTAATGACTTCCCATGGCCGAGGGGGTAGGACTCGAACCCAGATCTCCTAATTATTAATACCTTACTCTATCCACGACAGCATGCTGCGTCGTTCTATGTGTGCTGTAATGAATAGTTCTGTTACTCTGTGTTGAGCGGAACTTACTCCAGATAAATAGGCACAGGACTGAACAAAAGTCAAAAGCCAAGCCTGCTGCTTAAGTACCGCCCCACACCGCTTAAAGCCCTCTCTGGGGTGCTTACAATTTAATTATGCAGGCTACACATTGCGGCAGGCCCCCAGCTAGCTCGGTACTCCATTCACTGACTTCAGAAGGAGGGAAGGCTGAGTGAACCTCGAGCCAGCTACTTGGGATTGAACCCAGATGGGAGCAGAGGGATGTGGTTCCCATCCACCCCACCCCCGCACCCCCGCAATTGAAAGCTGGGGTTTCATTAGACTAGCTAAACCATATGATTAAACCCCGGCCTTCAACACACTTAGACGAAAGCGAATTCATTCCGCTACGGCCAAAGCACATCCCCTGCAATTGCGCGTTTCCGTGCGCTCAGACTGCCAGCGATTTGAAAAAGGACCTCCAAGATCCAATTTACTGTCTTAGAATCATTATCGCCTCGAAACAAAGTAGTCTACAATTCCACCCCTGGCTCCTAATTCCTTTAGGAGCGAAGGAATAAGTTCAGGTAGAACAAACAACTTAAGGACCCGATCCAGACAAAGGCCCGCGCTTTTAAACCCCGTCGATTTTAGTGGCAATGGTCAAGATGTGCTCCTATCTCTCCCATTCAAATCAGAGAGACCGGGTACAGTCCTAAACATGCATTTACTCCCAACTAGACTTGCCTAAAACGCGGCTCGAAGGTTGCAATACTGCACACGCTGCCTAGGAAGTAAGCTCCCCGTGCATAATGGGCCTTGCTTTTGAGTAACGATGCATAGGATGGCTCTGCGAGAAGAGGTGGCTCCTATTCGCCGTTTACTAATTTTCTGCCAGCTATTTTGAATGCCAGTTCTGAACCCATTTTTTTCCTGGACTATAGTACAAGTCCACCGAACGTAGTAGAATGGGCTTACTTTCCTTGAATTGTGTTTTGGATTGCAAATTCGACAAGTTTACGCTGTAAACTAGCGTCCCTTCCCACTCCGCTAGTTGAAACTAAGCCCTATTTAAATAATAAAACAGGCGCACGGCAAACTCGCGGAACATCTGGCTGCAACTGCACCTTGGGGAGTAAGCTCCGTTGGTCCCAATGGGTCTTTTCCCCAAATAAAGGTACTTGAGGCCGGAGTGTCAAATTCGTTTCATCTCAGCGGGGGCCAGTTCATGTCTCGGAAAATTCACTTTTGGCTTCAGAGGATGACCTTAACAACCTTTCCAGCATCCTGAGCTGCAATCCAGGGTGATATTTTAACACCTCTGTGAGGTGCGGCAGAAAACACCTTCATTCCCACTCCCTGATTTGTATTCATTACAACAGATTCCCCCCCCCATCGCAGGTGATGAGGAGGGAGACTACAACTCCTATTCTCCCCAGCAGCACGCCCAGTGGTTCTGCCAACTGGAGATGATGGAGACTGAAGTCTGGAGGGTAGGAGGGCGGGAGGAGAAGCCCGGGGTAAGGGAAGCTGAACACAGACAAGGGTTGGGTGTTACCTTCGCAGGACTTTACGGTATCATGACAGACAAGTCTAATGACTATATTCAGCATAATCATACTTCCATGCTAGGATGCAGCCATGTCAATTACAACGCGCGGCTGAGCCGGGTGAAACTCGGAGCAAGAAAAACAACACACCCAAATAGCCAGCGTCAACAGGAAAGCCGCTCCCCCGCTTCCAAGAGAAGCCAATTTTGGGCTGGCGGAGATCCTCTTCTCCCCTTTGAACATCATAAGATGAGATTAACTGTTGGAGACACAAGCTAGTGTGGTAACCAAGGGCGGAGGAGCAAGACCTGTGGGCGGATACTTGAAATGTAGTTGGTGGCTTGTGGATGACAATGCTCTGCTCCACAGGATGCTACTCGTATTCCATGACCCTAATTTCACATTTCAGATAACTCTAGGATACAGAACAATCACATCCCAAGCTATGATGGCTCACGCATCCCTAAGACCACCATCCCTACTATTTTTGAGTATTGTGAACCGCTCTCGTAGCTGCTCTGCTCTGTATATATTTTGAGTTTAGTGAATAACACGTCCCATCAGCTTTGTTGAGAAACCGCTTTGCTGCGATTCACCCTAAAGGCCGGAGATCAAAATTCACCAACAATTCGCCGCCGAAGCTCTGCCTTCCAACGTAGCCTGTCAGGTTTCAGAAGGGATCTTTTCCGATTATTCGAAATGCAATCCTATATGTGTCTACTGGCTGAATTCAGTAGTACCCAACATGTGTTAAGATTGCGCCCTAAACAGTCTGCGATTAGCCTTAACTCCAGTTATATCCATGTAGTTTCCGTCTGTGTCTCAGCGAAATTCTTTGAGTTCTAATACCCAAGTTCTAATATCCCATCTATATGGGAAAAGCAGTTCTCTTTTGCTGAGACTTGAAATCAAACTGGACTGGAGAGGCTGCCTGAAGCCTGTAGGATTTCTCTAAGAATAAAGGCGCATCAGATTCGGCCAACTCATACAATCAGCAGCAAAAGTGCTTCTACACAAACCACCCTTATGGTGGTTTCCTAGCACTTTAACAGCCATGCTCCATCTCTGCTGTAGTTCAGGGGAGTGCCCTAGAACTTCCTAGCATGAATTTTTAAGCACTTCACCAAACAACTTATCCCAGGATTCAATCGGGTGCTGTCACCTCCAGCAGTGCAATCATAAGCAAGCTGATAATTCAGAACCTTGGAAGCGCCTCTGAAATTCAGAGGTTTCTCACAGGTAAGGAGGGAACAAGTACCCTTCGATGACTCTACTTCAGAAACTCTGGCCATACCTGCTGGTCCTTATGTGCTTTTTGGAAAGCACGAGCCACTGATTGCGCTCGGAATCCTGTTCAAGAACTTAGACACAAACAACTGTAGCTTGTCTGTGCAACTTTGTTGTTGTTTAGTCGTTAAGTCGTGTCCGACTCTTCGTGACCCCATGAACCAGAGCACTCCAGGCCCTCCTATCTTCCACTGCCTCCCGGAGTTGGGTCAGATTCATGTTGGTTGCTTCGGTGACACTGTCCAACCATCTCATCCTCTGTCGTCCCCTTCTCCTCTTGCCTTCACATTTTCCCAACATCAAGGTCTTTTCCAGGGAATCCTCTCTTCTCATGCGATGGCCAAAGTATTGGAGCCTCAGCTTCAGGATCTGTCCTTCCAGTGAACACTTTTGAGGCCTTTTTTCTTGGGAGTAAGTTATACTGAATACAGAGGATGTAAAGTCACTGTGCAACTTTACATCCCCTATTTTCAGTATAACTTACTCCCAAGTAAAAAGGCCTCAACCTTCAACATTTCATTGAGTCCTGAAAAGTGCAATGGCAACCAATAACTTGATGACACTGGATGGGACTCCTAGCAACCCACCTAGTTAGAATCAGAGAGCTGGAAGGGACCCTATGGATCATCGAGTCCAGCATCTCTCAAGAAGGCACAGTGGGGAATCGAACTCCCAACCTCTGCTTAAACCACTGAGCTATAACTTAAACAGTGTGAGTGTTGTTTTCCATTAACTCAATGACCTGATCCTCTTTACCGGCTGTTGCTCTGAGCATGGTACCATTGAGTTCAATGGGACTTACTCCTGAGGACTGTCACATTGTGTGTGATGAGCTTCAAGGGAAATACACCACAAGCAAGTTAAACGCAGCACCCCGATACATTCTAATGGATTCAGGGAACTTAGTCCTCTTTGGCCAGTTTCTATTACTTCCAAAAGAATTCCTGTTCCTATCTACTCAAAGGAGGTACCACTAAATTCGAGAAGATTTCTTCCCATGTAAGAATGCAATCCTATGCAATTGCTTAGAATCCAGTCTCACTGGATTCGGCCACATTTAATCCTGAATAGATAGCACAGGATAGCACTGTAACTCTCTTAAGAATTTATGTGAAGAGCCCTTAAATTACTCCCACCACTCTTTTTTTAAAAAATTGAAGTGTTCTCAGAACGTTGTGCGCAAAAACCACGTGTGCAGAATGGCTATAAAAGAAATAACAGGATGCAGAATCTAACCGCTAGTGTTTGATAGATTGTTTGACCTTTAAAATATGCAGAAAGAAATATGCCCCATAATTCCATAGAATTCCAAGGGCTCCCATAGGGATTTCAACACATTCTATGTCACAAGCAGAGTAGGGAGGGGAAATAAATAAGTAAGAAAAAGTAGAATGGCACTACTGATTTAATAGGAATAGGAACAGAAGTTATGCGAAACCATCAGCTAAAACTTTACTCTCTCTTTTTCGCCCCATTAAATAGATTGCAAAGTATTTTAATTCATAACTTGGCACTTATTGAAAATTGTGACGTCAACAATGAATGAATCAAAAGCGAAGCAAACCTGAGTGGAACAAAATAGATCGTGCTGACAACAACATGTAAATGAAGTAACAGCATGTTTTCCTCAGACTTTTTCCTTTCTTTCTTTCCCCCTCCTCAATAACTTAAAATACACTAGAAAAAATACGGTCAATATAAATAATTTTTTTTCGTTTTGTTTTCATGGAGAACAAATAATTACAAAGCTCTGTTTCTACCAGAGTTCAAACTTGCAAAGAGATATCTCTTCTTTCCCCTCCCCCCTTCCCTCCCCCTTTTTTTCTTGGCAAAAAAGCATTCAACTCTGGAAGGCTTGGAGTGGACGAACCAACCGGCTACTTCGTGGTCCCTTCAGTATATGCCTTTTTAAAAGAGGAAAAAATAGATAGAGATGTACAGTATATCATATCGCAAAATTAAGGGGGTGGACACACCTTTATGAGATCTGATGGGAAGGTTTGGCAGGACTGCCAACGTACGAGTTACGATTGCCAAAGCAAGCATGTGTTTGTGACTAAACGTCCTTTTTAAAAAAAATCACCATGTACTGAATACTGCTTGTCATGATTCAGAAGGGGAAATATGGAAACCCCGTGGCTGCAATATAATATATACTGAAGAGAGAGAAGGAAGCTTGTCTGCTACAGCCCATATCAGGGCTAAAAATCGGTCTTAAAGCTGCAAGCCTCCGTTCTTAGACTATGAGGCTAATATAATTGAAATTAACGGACGACGTTAGCTGCGCCTGATTTTTGATTGTAATGTAAGATGGAACCCTCTTTTAGACATGAGAAATATAAGTCTCAGTATTGCTTCAAAAGGGGAGAAGATCGACATTTACCATAAGGTACTGCCTTTATCGAACCGCAGCAAAACGTTAGAGTTGGGCGCAAAGTTTGGAGCGCTCCAAAAGTGGACGAGAAGGGGAAAAAAATAGGGGTGTGTTAAAAAGTGGGAAGCGCTGATTGGTGGTAGGGGGATCAAATTTTAAAGAGCCTGGGGGTGTTTACTAGAAAGCAACCCCTCGTGTTTTCGAAAATATATTCAAAAAAGAGGTGGAGAGGATCGCAGCCTTGAAATTGTGCTAGATTTTGCATTCCTGTCCTTTGCTTTCGGTGGGTTTGGGCGGCGGCCCCGTCTGTATGGGAGGATCTGAGCTTTTCTGTCCGTTGAAGTCTTAGTTTTTAAGGAAGAGGGAAGCTTAGGGTGTCCGTCTTTCTTTCCGCCTTCCTTCCTTCCTCTATCTCTCCTTCCCCCCTTCTCTCTCGACGGAGGAACCCCCTAAATGAGCTTGCTTTAAACCGCTGACTTTCATTCTCTTAAAGGTTAAGGTGAAGTGCAATGACCCGAAGGGACGCCCAAGAAATTAATAGAAAACCCAAACACATGCAGACCCGGAACTCTACTAGCAGAAGGATCTCGAGCAGTTTCCCATTTAGAACTTGGAAGAGAAAGGAGCGCGTCTCCGTCTTCCTCCCTTTCCCCACCCCATTTTAATTATTTCCCCTCCATTTTTTTTTAAATTCTTCTTTCCTTCTCATCACCGTTTCCAGTCCGTGGCTGTTAAAACTCAAGTATCTGATGCGACGTGAAAGGAGGCCCGCCTCTCTTATCAAATTTCTCGTATTAAAGTGAACTTCGCAGAAAAAGGTCAGTTTCAAAACCTGTGAACTTCCCAGCTGCGCGTCTGTTTCATCTGATTCTTTAAATAAGTCTCTCTCTCTCTCTTCCCTCCGGTTTCCGAGTAGCTCTTTCTTCTCTCCTTTAGTCGTGTTAGCAGTAGCAGAAGGTTTGTCTCTCTCTCCATGAACAACAACAACAACAAAAAATCAAAACGGGTTCGTTTTATTTCTTTCCCCTTTAGATCGTTACTTCTCGTTACTTTTCAGTTTGTTTTGTTTGTTTCAGCCCACACCTCTCGGGGCTTCTGATTTCCCGCCGCAGGTTTGGGTCTGTCTGTTTTTTTTTTGTCTTTCACATTTTTAAGTCCCGCAGGACCAACAAGGGGGTGGGGGGGTAGGAGGCAGGGAAGGCGGGACCCTCTTCGAGGGAGTTCAGGTCGGTCTCTGTTTAGGACAGCTCTCCGGGGAAGAGGTCTTGGGGAGGGGGCGCCTTTCTTCCAACAGCTCCCGCGCCTCTCCCACCCCCCCTTCCCGGCGCTCCGCAGGCGATGGGATTGCAACGTGCCCAGCAGCGAGGAAGAGTCACAGGCCCAGGGCCGCCGCGTGCTTTTTGGCTTTAAGTCTGAGGTCCGCGATGCTCGAGTTCTTACTGGTGGTCTTGGCGGCCGCCGCTGCGGCCACCACCGAAGCGGCCGAGGCGGACTCCGCGGCCAGCGTGGCCAAGGGCAAGCCGAAGGGCGGCGCCGGGAACATCATGTAGGGCGCATGCGCGGCCAGGTGCGGGTGGAGGTGGTGGTGCGCGTGCGCCACGGCGCTGTCGAGCTGCAGCTGCGCCTGCACCTGAAAGGACAAGGGCGTCACGTTGCAATGACTATCCTGAAAAGTGTAACGAGAGTGGAGAAAGACAAGAGCATTAAACCACCACCGAGCCTCCTGCCGCCCCCCCCCCGCGCAGTCATCTCGCGCCAGAGCTCGAGGGACTTGCGAGCCTCGAGCGCGCTCCCTGCGAGATATTATACATGCCTACTCAGAGGCAAGTCCCACTGAGCTTAAAGGGGCTTACTTCCAGGAAGGCTTGTATAGGATCCAAGCCTTAGGGGGGGGGGTGTAATAAGTCATTGCCATCCTATGGCGAGCCTAGCAGCGTTCTCAAGGTAGGTAAAACCTTGAAGAAGTGGATTTACCATTCTCACCCACCTCCAGTGATTTTCCATGGCCAGGGGGAGATTTGAACCCAGATCTTCAGACTCCTAGAGAGACCCTCATACCATTACACCACAGTGACTCCGCAGGACTCTGTTTGAATACAGTAGGACTTGCTTCAGAGGAAACAGTAAGCATCCCAATGACAGGGGAGCAAAAATTGTCCCTCCCTTTTAGGTGTCTTTGAGAGAGATCAAAGATCATGGCTTCTGGATTCAGTCTCCATCACTACATGTTCCTTGGGGAGGAAAATGTCATTCCAAAAATTAGCCCTGCACATGTGGTCTGTGAAGTCCTTGCTAGCAGTGGGTTAGTTCCCTAAAAGAAGTTTCAGGAAGTCAAGCCTGCCCTGGAGTAGATTTAAGCATGCCAGTCTCATTGAAAGCAATGCATTTTGCCTCTGGAGTAACATCCCCTGGGACAGCATGGCACATTTGTTTTTGGGTTATTCATCCAGCCGGACCCTAGGTGCATTTAATAAAAAGGCAGTGTTTAGAGAGCCTTCATCATAAGTAGGTGCCTTTAGCATGGCAGCCTTAAATCTACCCAACACTAAGCCCAACTAATACACAGTTAAATAGCCAGCCTGCTAAAGCCGACTACAGCAGTGGAACACCGAAATGATCAGGTTGACAGAAACAGCAACTACACACTTGAGTATTTGCAGTATATGGCAAGACTACAGAAGTTTCCTTACAGTATTTGGTTTAACTATTAGTCTTGATGTTTCTCTCGATACAGAGGCCTCTGAGCATGTTCAGAATGTCTCTGTCTGTGTCCTTAATAATCACAACTAGGGCTCATGCATTTACCCTTAGGTTGCAGCATGACAACACCACAGGATGTGGCTCCTATCCAGCCTTTCCAGCTACTTTTAAAGATGTGGAACATTTCAAAAAAAAGTCTCTACTAAAATGCCCTTCAGTCTTCACCCCAAGCATTCCTTGGTTCATTGTTTATAATTCTGTAGCAGTATAGAAAGATATGCTAGGTTTGCTCAGTGGCTTTGTTATATTATTTTAGAACATCCAAGGGCTGAATGCTACCATTGGAAACAAGCCCACCCCATTACTCGCCATGGACCGCTGTTGCCCTCACCAGAGCAGCCAGTGGTGAGGAATGCTAGGAGTTGCAACTAAACAAAATCTGGAATGGTGGTGGTTGAGGAGTCCAATTTTGAGAGTGCTGGAAATCCACAATGGGGCTTAGTCTGCCCTTTAGTCAGGATTCTATACCTATTTAGGGTGGGGTGTTATGATTTCAGTACTTTGGAGAGCTCTTGTAAAGTGCGGACTAAAAGCTAGTTTTGATTCTCAGCATCTATGAAGTTAAGAGTTCCCAGCCACCTCTCATGTGGAGGATCACATTTTCACTACCCTGCCTTGGGTATGTTAAGCCCTAAGGAAGCAATTGTACAAATCCTCTAAACCTGTGCAGAGCATTATTCCTCATCACAGTGTAGTTGGAATTCCAGATAAGACAGAAGTGTCACAAGTTGTTTTTTTTAGCACATGTGTGATCTCTTAGCACTCCTCATTTAAGCATTTCTTTTTCTGACTGCTCTGGTGGCTGGGCAGGCTGATAGTTTGGCTAAATACATTACCTATTTGTGTGATGTGACCTTGTGAGGTCTCAGCTTGTGCTTGTCTTTGGATAGGCTGGCGGGCAGCTTGGTTGCAGAGGAGCTGGCTAGTGGATTTTTTGAGATGTTGTCTCTTTTAATGTATCACTTGGTTTCTTATGACCATTCTCATATGCCTGCTATCTACTGGCTATGGATGGGAAGCTCTGACAGTTCCATACTCTCTTCTATTCAGATATTTTAAAACTCAAGTTCTTTCCATCCCATAAATGAAGACATCTGCAAATATTGGGAAATGCTTCAAAACCAATTGAAACATATCTTCACCCCATCTGCATTAGCCAGAATCAGTGGGTATAGATATTCTTGGCACAAAAACTGTGTTGCACCTGCTTGCTGTCACAGTACTAATGATGACAAGCAAGGAGGAGGGAGAGACGATAACAATGCAAATCAGGACCAATGTGGGTGAATACACCAAGATTCAAACCCAAACTAGGTCTGGATGGACAAATCTGTTTGTTGTAATTTTTTCCCCATATTCAACGCTTTTCTCTCTCAGGTTCTTTCCATCCTGGAATACATTCACAAATGTTGGTAAATTCTTACTTTGAGATCTGAACTAAAACTAAAATCTTGCCCATCTTCACTGCTGGCACATGCTCTTGCATACACCAGCCATAGGAAGTGCTGCTTTGGAGCTGGCGGGGGTGGTGAAACCATGGGCTGGCTGTACTTTATGCCTGTGGTTGCTGGCTGCTGGCTTCCAGTGCTAGACAGCTAACCATAGGCATTATAGGCTAATTGGCTATATTTCTGCTGAATTAATCCACCCACGCTTAACATAGACATCTAGGTTATAATGCGCTTGATTGGCTTTCTTTCGAGTGTGCTCAGCTTCTCCCACCCACTCTGACTATATTTTTCTAAACACTTTTGCTTGACTGTCTCCACAGTGCAAGGATGAGTAAAGTGGTCAACATCTCTGAAAGTCTATTTTTAAAAAGGGAAGTATGCCTTGCCTATTTCTGCACACTGAGGCTATAACCATGCTTTCATGCCACTGACCTTCGGTTTGTAGCAGTTCATGGCATCAAGCTGGTAGGAACAAAACAGAAAGTCCTATTCTATCTCCTTTCCACCCAGTCTTTCCATGACTGTACACAACTATCACTGTCACTCAGTGTGAAGAAACTGGGAAAACACAGATTGAGGACCTTTCTGGATAATTCAGGCTTTTTTCGATGCCCTGGAATGGCTAGCTAAAAAAAAGGTTGGGGCAGAGTTTGACTGCAATGGAATGGAAGTACCACTGGGGTCGTTTGTCTTTTGGGCAAAGACTGCAAGGCTGAATCAGCTTGTTCCCTGGCACTGAACTAATTGGGAAATGACTTCAGCTGTGTCTGAGGGGAGGGGTCAGAAACTGCTCTTCTCTTCAAGAACATTCAAGGAAACTTGAAGCCTGATCACCAGGTCATCTCAAAATGTCTAGAAATTGATTTAAAAGGTATGAAAACAAGTTAAGAACTTACTTTAGCTGGCTTAGCTATCTCTTAGGAGACCTATGCTCAGTTGCTGTCCTGCTATACAATGAGCTGAGGCTATGTTAGTGTGTAAGTACTAGGTAGGTTGGTTAGCTTTCTTATTTTCTTGTGTGTTCGCTGTGTATTGTTCTTGCCTCAGGCTTTAATTGATTGTTTGCTCCAGAATACTTTTGGTGCCTTTTTGAAACCTTTTGAAAGTTTTGCCTTTTGACTTTTCCACTATCTTTAATAAAATATAAAAACAAAAAAAATCTCCTTTCAGTTGTCTGGATTTTTGGCAAAGAGGGCTTATGGTACTTAAAACGAGGTCTTGCCTTGACCTGGTTTTAAGTACCACAAACCTCTTGGCCAAAAATCCAGGCAATTGAAAGGATTTTTAAAAATATTTTGGTTATTTTTATAGGTATGATGGCAGTTCTACCTTGTAGGGAGGGTATGAGAGTCTTGTGCTTAATCTTGTGGATTTTTGGAACTAACTGCAAACACTGCTTAGTTGGGTCAGACTATTGGGAGGTACCAAAAACAGGCAGGCCTCCTAGCCGCCGCCACGTTTAACTCTCCTGGGCTCACCCACTCCAGGAGCAGTAAGGCAGCATAGCTAAGTGATTAGAGTACAGCTATCAGCCCCCAGTGGTTTGTCACACAGGACCTTTTGTGACATTAGAAGGTTTGTTCCATTTGGGGTATGTTGCAAGCCATTTAAGCTGGCAGAAGTGCAATGGTATAAATTACAGTACTGAACTGCAACTAACAAATGATTTGCTGCTTCTGTTGCTCAGCATTTTCCTAGTTATGCAGCTTGCACACAAGAATTGACATAAATAGCAACTTTTTAACTAGTAGCAATTCACCATTGTGACTTATGTCATTGCAATTATGCCAGTTTAAATAACCAATAGGATTCTGGCCACTGACTTTCATGGAGACTGGCCTTCTTTGCAAGACACCCATTTCACAGATAAGAATGCCTTAACCCCAAAGTATTTATGGTAGTCAGAAGCATGTTCCACTGAGTTTCATATGCATAAGAAGAAACAGCTCACCAAAGATTAATCACTGGACCAGTGCAGCCCCTAGAATATTAAGATGCTACTAATGTTGATAAGCTTGGAGTGAAGAACATTTTCTTGGACTAAGCACAACAAATTCATTAATGATGATGGAGAAGAATCCACTGTGTTTTGTTTGTTTGTTTCCTTTCAATGCACTTATTTTAAAACACATTAATTAGAAGTCCCACTGAAATCAACCAAAGTAACTTCCACCTAATGGCCTTAACGCAGACCACTTGAATCGATGGGCTTAAGAGGATCGGCTGTTGGACCATGGCCAAAATGCTTTGAAAGGTACTGTACTTTCTAGGCTCTCATCCTTTCAACTAATGTGAGTTCCTTAAGATGGAATTGTCAGAAAAATTATTTTCTTGTTGCACTGATTCAAATCTTATATAGGGACCAGTTCATAAAAATGCCTAATATTTTTGTAGGAAAAAGACTTCACAGAACAGATCAAAGTCCAAGAGTGAGTTAACAAACACAACCAGGCTGGCATTGCTGCTTATTCTTGCTCCCTGAGCTGGTAGTCTGCATTGCAACAGCTAACCTGGACAAAGACTGAGGCCATTCACCTCGTTGCACTAGGGGCAAAACCCTATTTAAAACAAAAACACACACACCGCACCCTAAAACTTCCTTCTGAGTAAATTTGCATAAGATTGCTGCAAGACAAAAGCTGACTTCTGCATGGAGTGACTTCCAATGCTGCTATTCTAGACACAGCTGAGAATAAACTCCCCTGAACACAACGCCTATTACTTCCGTGTAAACATAAACAAACTCAGCTCCCCTGGCTTACTCCCCAAGTAAACATGCCGAAGATTAGGCATCACAGATACAGCCCTGGCACAGCTCCAGATCGCCAATGTTACTCACCCAATACTAGCCACGCTTTCTCGGGAGTAAACTCCTTTAAGACCAATGAGAGTTTATGCCTAGTAAGGCTCGCATGTATTAAAAGATAACCCCTCACATTCACAAAATAAGGTCCATCCAAACCAGAGTCAAGCTGCAATCTGAATATGTTCGGAGACTAAGTCTTGTTAGAAATCGTCCTTGTGAATCTGGTTTCTGAAGGCTCGCCATAGAATGGAGTCAGATTATAGATATATGCCCGGGATCTGTGTGTTAAACGTGTAAACAACGCACACCCATCCCATCCCATCACCTCCCTCTAGTCGGGCGACAAACGTTTGCGTTTGTTTTAAATACGTTATTTGTTGTGCAACTACCGGGAAACGCGCAAGGAAGGGGAGCTCACATCTAGGGCGGGGGCGGGGAAAAGGAGAAGCCGCCTGTTCCAAACCAACGGCGGCAGCGGGAAGGGAAGATAGTCAGCATCTCCTCCCGGGCTTGTCCTTGCACTTGCCTGCTGGAAGGGCATCCGCAAGGCGCCGACGTTCACGTACGGAGCCACCCGGCAGGCTTCAAACTGGCTGGCCGCTCCTATGAGAACCCCTGGAAGAAAAAGGCGGAGATCGGGTGAGAAAAGCAGTCCAGAGCAACGCTTTGGCGATTTTGGAACTACAACTCCCGAAATGCTGGCTGGGGGGGTTGGGTGTTGTCCAAAAATCTGGCCCAAAGACAAGGCAAAGTTAAACGTGGAGAAACCAGATCCGACCTTGTGCTGCTTTTCTGAACAACCTCCTTCACAGGGTTTACTCGGAAGGAAATCCCACCTAGCCCAATGGGGTTTGCTCCGGGGTAAATCTGCGCAGGATCGCAGTGTCGGAGAAGGAGGGCAATTTGGCATCTTCTGGGTTGGGAAGAGTTAAGACTCCAAGCCAAGACGACTTAAAGGACCCGTGACACAATAGAGCTCCTGGAAATCGCCTTTGTTTACTTACTTATTGAAAGCCGTTCGATAACCCCAATTGTGTGGGCAGCGTACAACACATCAGAAATATATTTAACATACAAACCATAGGCAAAGAGCAAAGTGCACCGTGTACGGTTTCACGTACCTTTATGTAGCTGATTTTCTTGTTTTCTACATTTAGCTCTCCTGTTCTGAAACCATACCTGGGCAGACAGGAAGAGAAATAAGCTCAATACAAACCCACATACCAAATATATTCCGTGGTACCTCTATCTGCGTTTAATACCAGTAAATGACACTTGCATTTGCTTTCAGCAAGTAATTTGTTGCTTTTTCCTGGCTTCTCTCTCTCTCTCGCTCTCTCTCTCTCTCTCTCTCTCTTACACACACACACACACACACATGCAAAAACAATTCAAAATACTTCATGTCTATAAACATCCCCTCAAGGATTCTTAAAATACCTCACTTTCCAATTTTTTAAACACACACACACACACACACACACACACACACACACAGACACACACACACACACACACACACACCTCCCTCCCACAGGTGGATCGGGTGGCTCTGGGCTAAACTGTTGGCCTCTACCAGGATCTAAGCTTTCTGAGTAAACCATTTCACTAAAATGGATTGGCTTCTGAGTAGTCATGCGTGAGTCGGGTTTCCATCTCATACTGATCATCCAGAAAATATAACCCTGTTTTTTTAAAAAAAAGTATTTCATTTTTTCCCTCTGCATTGGAAATCCACTATCCACTGTGTGGCTTAGAACTCTTTAATCCCTCTCCCACCCTCACCCAGCAGGGAGAAGTTTGTATGGAATAACACATTTCTCCCTGCTGGAATGTTTTATTCATTCGGACTATTGCTGGGTGAGTTCAGGCCCCTGCTAAATTTCAGCTTTTTGAGTACCCCAGAAGTGGTTTGAATATTAGAGAGGTGCATTTATTAGATAGTATTATCTCGGATAAAGAGGGGAACTGTTCATGTTTCCTATTGAGAGCCTCCCAGTAATCAGGATTAATATAATGCTAAGAGTTATATATACTTGTCAAATTTTAAATTATGCAATAGATGAACTGTTTTTAGAGGTACACCCCCCCTTTTGAGATAGGCATTCATTTTCCTGATATTTTATTAATCAAGGCGTTTAGGCTAGGCATGCCTCACATTTCAAGGCTCTCACCCTCATTCACTCTGTCTCACATATGCCACAGAGCTATAATAAATGTGTTAATCCTTAAGATGTCCAGGACTTTTTGTTGGTTTTGCACCAGGAAGTGAATCAGCAAATCAATGCATACTCATACACAATGCTTATCTGATTCGCTTTGTCCCTATTTGTTGTTGAAATCTTGATCCCAAACAAGTTTAACTGAAATTTATTTCACCCATTAAAAAAAAAGTCCCCATTAAAAATGACTTTGGGTTTGAATCTCAAATATAGACACACATCACATCTCTGTTTTTAGAACCCTCCTGTTCGTTATAAACGTGCCCCACTTAACAGCAATAGATTGCAGATTTAATTTGATACAATTATCTTTAAAATTAATTGGATCCTTCATTTCAAAAAAAGAAGAGGGCCACAGCCCAACCAAGTACTGTACTTCAAAGCTGCACTCCCATACACAGTGGCTGAAAACCACTGTTGCAACTGGGGTAAACCCCAAGAATCAATGAAACACAGGGAGGAGTTAAAACTCACCAAATCTCCACAGTTCAGTGGAGCCTACTGTAGTTACAACTTTCTACTGACTTTCAGGAAGTCCCACTGAACTCAGGGGGCCTTACTTCAGAGTAACTGTGACTAGAACTTTGCAAATCCCATTGTTTGCACAGGGAGTGATTTAGGCAGCACTCTTGCACCCAGGTTTTCCTGGGTTTCAGTTCCCCTAAGCTCAAGGGGGCCTGCTTTTGAGAAGACACCTCTCTGCCTCAAAGATGTGAAGTTAGAAATGAGTGAAATATGGGTACATTGCACCACAACTGTGGTGGCAATGGCAACCAGAAACTACATTCCTGAAACATTTTTACTTTCTTTAAATCAGAGGGAAGGTTCATTCCCATTCCCAGGAGTAGGATTTGTATACCAATATTACATCTTGGACTTTACTTGCCAGGAACACACATACTAGGGAAGAGGGGAATGGACTCTACACTTTCATGGCACCCCGTTTAAAATCAAGCCAAGCTTCCAAGCGTGCACTTCTGAGACAGAGGTGGGGAAAGGGTAGATTGGGATCTACACGATCTGCCGTTGTTTAAAGGCCACCTAAATGTGGCTGCTGAAAAGAAAACAGAAAAGTGAGCAAACAAATAAGCGTGGGATCTGTACAGGGCGTGCACTGAAAGCACATTCCTAAACATTAAAAGTCCTCAGAGACACCCTGTTATTTAATTCTAAGGGGAGGACTTTTTTTTACACCTGCTTCTGGTTGTGGAGATCTTGAGGTCCTGTGGCAAGCAAAACAAAGGAGACACGAAATCGAAACTCCATATTGGAGTAATTCCGTTATTATGCCAATTCCCTCCAGGGCAAAACTATGTGGCAGTTTTCAGGATCACAGGAGGCTCCGTAAACCACAGTGCTAGAGTAGGCAGCCAGGGAGAGGGGAGTGGATGGGGAAAGGAGAGGCCAAACTAGACTTGATCTTAAAATCTATGTCCCCGTCCTGTCTAGTCGTACTCGTCGCGCCCTATTTTGCGTTCTGCAGAGGAGACAGGAGAAAACCTGCCCACCCCGGTGTAGGGGAAAAAGTAGGGGCAGATGCCGCCTGTTCTGGTTCTTGCTCAATTATTTTCTCAGGCCCGTTTCATCTTTGGCCAGTCCAATCCCCCGAAGGCGCAGCCGCCCCCTGCACCTCTCGGTGCTATCTAATGCTAAAAATTCGTGATAAAGAGGTTTAGATGTTTGCGCAATAAGACCCTGGAAGAATGCGCTCATTAAAAGCCTGTAATATTAATTAGCTTTATCTTCAAGAAAAACGAAACACCAAAGCGTTTAATGACTCACTTTTGGGGGGGTAATTACTGCCATGAAAGCTTCACTACAAAGAAGTTGAGAAATTCGCTCTTCCTCTGTGCAGTCGAGTGTAACACAGAAGCGGAATAATTGTCTCATTATTATGATAATCTAATTTGCTCCCATAAAAGAAAAAGACACACAGAGAGAAAGCTGCCAGACAAGAAGATACTTTCACTATTGGAAACAGGCAAAAGTTTTAAATCGGCACCGAAAGTTGGACTCATTTCCCCCAGAAGAAAGGAGGTTCAAATTCCGATGCCCAGATGCACTTGAGCAGCCCGATCCTATGCATGATCTCTCAGAAGTAAACTAGACGGAATTCAGTTCTGACTTGGGGCAAAGCTGCACCGAACTCAGAAGGGTTTGCACCCGAGTAAAAGCGGGTAGGATCAAGTAGGTTAGATCAACTTATTTCATTGACAGCGTGTTTGACAGCTGTGTAACTGCGATTTTAGAGCGTTTTTTTTTAAAAAATTGGCTGGATGGTACCCTGACTGTTTCATTTTATGATACTCTGTGGCGGGGTCTGTTTTCCTTGGCAACGGTCCGATCATGTGATCCTTCCCCCAACCCTAAAGGAGGAGGGACACCGGCGGAAAAGATTGCGATCATATTCTAAAATGATTAAATCCTCATAATAATTGCAAGCCATCAAGTCTACGCTGACTTATGGCGACGCCTTCCAAGGTTTTCCGAGTATGGTTAATCACTCCCTTCTTCTAGGGCTTCCTGGCCCTGTGTAGTCTTGCTTAAGGCCACCCAAGCTGGCTTTTCCCCTAGGTGGCACAGTGGGGGGATCGAACTGCCAACCTCTGGCTCTGTAGCCAGGCTACCTAAACCAATGAGCTATCAAGGTGAGTACATACGCTTGAGGATTTCCTCTCCGCATTCATAATCATAGAGCTTATTAGTTGCCATAGTCAGACGAACGTCGACCACCCCAAATATGTCTCTAACGATGAGACGGTATATTTCAACTGAGCGTCCTTCGTAGGAATCAGGCATTTAGCCCGATCCTGAGCATTTTAACTAGGATGTAAATTGTGGTTGCTTTGTGGGCAATGGGACTTGAAACCTAGTATAACCAGGTTTGTAAACTGGCTTTGCCACGCCGGACATGTTTCTTCTTCCAGAAAGCCCCAGGAACATAGGGGATAAACAGACGTGTCGGAGCAAGCAGGAACAGGATCTAATTGCAGTTTCGAATCATCCTCCTGCTTTCCGGCCTACAGGTCCCGCAAAAAGAGTTGCTCATAGCATAAGAAAGTTATTGGTTCTGAAATGCCCTTCCCAAACCCCTTAGCCAGCTTGGCCCAAACCAGTAACTTTTCCCTAGATTCTCCGACCAGATAAATCAACACACATTTTGCAACAAGAAAACCCTGTGGTGGTTGTAGGCTTTTCGGGGCTGTTTAGTCGTGTTCTGAAAACGCTGTCCTGTGAGATTTGGGGGGGGGGGGGGAACTGAAAANAGGTACAGAAAGTTCACGTTGGAGCGGATTCCCAAGCTTGGAGAGGTGGAAGTAAATCCTGACGGCAACAATAGTATTTACTTCAGAGTAAACCTAGTGAAGGGAGGGGAATGGATTTCGGCTCCCTGCCTCTCCTGCTAACCCGTCTTCTCCCCATCTGTCAGGGAGAGCGAGGAAGCGCAGTTTAAACCAAAGTCATAGCAAAGCATTTTCTGGGGTTATTTAAAAGGAAGGCGACTATAATCTATGCAAATCTCGGAAAGTTATTCTGAATGGATTATACTGAGCACTAGTTCTTCCTTTGTCGAGCAAACCTTTATCAGAACTCGCAGCTCTTTAATAATTTTTTTCCACCGACCGGTTGGGGGAACTGAATGGTTTGTGTGCGAAGGAGAAACACCGAGATAGAAACTGTCTTAAACAGCCACCCCAAAAAGAGGAATATTTTGTATTGAAAGGGAGGCTATGATGCCTTCCAAAACTGCTGGGTCTTCTTCCCCTCCCCCCCCCGCTCTTCTTGGCCTTAAAAAAAAAAAAAAGAGCGAGCGAGCGAGTCTGCCCCGGCTCAGTTTCTGGCTTGATCCGATTACAAGACGCAGAGAAAGCCTTTCAAGACCCGGAGTGCCGTTTGGTGCAGATGGCAGCCTCGGAGCACAAAGATGGAGGGGGAAGTATCTGTTACCAGCAGCGGCGAAGGCTCTCCGCGAGCAGCTGCAAATGTTTGGGGGCCTGAACCGGCTCCAGGTCTTCTATCAACACAAAGGAGGCAGGCCCCGGTTTCGACAGGCGAGAAGAACTCGCCGCTTTGGGCCAGCGGGCCGGCTTCCTTCGGGACCAAAGGCTTCCTCTCGTTCCTCCGGGCTTTTGCCAGCATCAAGATGTTCGCGAGCCGGGCCACCGGCTTTGATGCACGCTTTGGTACCAAGGCTTGAACTATTCCCCGGGATATTAGGAAAGGTGAGGCGAGGCGAGGGGGAGCTCGCCTTCCAGAGAGCTGATAGCTCTCTAAATGGCCAAGCTGAGCGTATCTGTTTCCTCCTCTTGGCCTTTTCTGTGGTCCCTAGAGATTTTTTTTAATTACTTCTCCTTTTAAAAAGAGAAAAGTGGCTGTAGATGTATGCATTTTAGCAACGCCCAATTTCTTTTATTAGCTAGCCCCCCCATAAAGTTAATTCATACATCCGTCTGTTCTTTCTTTAAAAAATAAATAGATCTAGGATCAATGTTCAAAAAAAGGGGAAGATTATCGTCTACCCTATATTGAGTCTCCCCCCTCCCGATGATGATCAGCATGGCATACTTAGAAGCGAATTTATAGAAATAGAAAGACACTTAAGCGCTGCCTGCCACCTTTGATACACCAACTTTGAACACCATTCACTAAATCAAGCACACACACACACACCCCATCGCCTATTTTCTCTTCCCACTATTCCAACGTTGAATTGCAGGCGTTTTCGGGCAGAGACCCTTTGTATTCCTTCTCCGCCCCGCCCCTCATTCAAGCAACACAGGACTTGAAGGTTCGAATTATAATAACAATTAGAGAATGGGAAATGAAAAAAGGAACAGAAGGTGACAAGGTAATACCACTATATAAACACATCACACAATATTTATTTACAATAAAGACCGCGATCTGAAGCAAAACCCGGGGAATTACTTTTTAAAAAGAAGAAGAAATTTCAATGCAAAAGTAGAGAGTTCCTTCCCACGAAAGTGTATTTTTAAAATTAGGTAAGAAAGCTGACGAAAGGACCTCACGCGACCTGTTACTCGGGAATGGCGCCTGTTATCAATTCAGAATCACCAAAGACATTGTCTTTCCCTGGGGGGGGGGAACCCACTTCTCTTTCGAGGCCACTACTTTTCCAGGCAAATGCTTGTCTTTGGATTCACATGTCCAACTTGTCCACAGTAAGAGAAGAATCCACCCGTTTGCTGAGACACAGAATGATCCTGAATCTGCTGATTCAGGAGTCATTCCCTTTCAATTCACAGGTTCCACACAAACCCGGGAGAATTACTCCGGAGTAAACATAATGCTAATTCCCGGTTTAGTTAATCTGTAGTAAGGGCTTTTAGAAGCATTCGTGTGGATACCTTCCCCCCCCCCCCAAAAATCCCTGCCCATCATGGGTTTCCTTCTCACCTGGACACGGGCTTCAGAGAGTCCCAGTCTCTGGCTGAGCTCCTCTCTCATGAAAGCGTCCGGATAATGGGTCTCGTCGAAAAGCCGCTCCAGTTCGTTCAGCTGCTCCAGAGTGAAATTGGTTCGGCTTCTCCTCTGCTTGATCTTCGTCTGCCCTTCGTCTTCCATCACTTTGGCATCTTCTTTGCGCTCCTTCAGCTCGGGGGAAACTGGACAAGAAGCAACACGGGTCATCAGAGAGGGTGGCCAGCCCCAAGCCCCTAATGCCTTCGCCTTCCGGATCGCCAGGCCATTGGCTGAGCT